CGGCGCGCCGGCGGCACCCACGGGCGGGGCCCGGGGGGGGGGGGGGGGGGGCGGGGCACGACACGACACGGTGTGTCCCCCCCCCAGCCGGGACTACCGGTACCCCCGACCGCTGCAGGTTTTTAGGCGCTGGCCGCGAAGGCCCTGCCAAGGGCAAAGAGAAGGACCGCAAAGAGTGAAGGCAGCGGAGTGTGTCTCAAAGCTCCGAGAGGAAAAAAGGAGTGTACTCGGCTTGTGCAACTTCACAGTTTCTGTTCTGGTTCTCAGCACTAAAAAGCCTCAGTTGGTTGACAGGAGTTTTGTTTTTTTTAAACCAAGCATAATATTTTCTTCCTGGAAGAGGTTCTTGAATCAAGGCTGTAACACCACAAAGTTTTAAGGAGCCCTTAGATCAACTTACCTTTCAAAGCAAGTCACAGCTATGACAGAGCCTGATACCTGTGTAATCATGTAGTTACATTTCCTAAACTAATCGTACCTTCCTACAATATCACCTGTGCTGTTATAAACTGGTAATTATTAGTTTATATCAGTATATGGATGTACTCTATAACCTGCTAATTACTACTGAAGACTATTTTATTTATCTAACACCTGTTCACAATGGTCAGAAAACACATAAAAAAGCTTGTCCATCTAGAAATTGAAGGAGGTCAGACATGATTGTTTAAGGAAAGGTGAATGAAGGCATTAGATGTTCCCCATTCTCGGTGCTACACTCCTACGAACACGTGATGAGGAAGCAAGTAGTTTTCTGTACAGCAATGTCCCCTAGACTGCAGAGTCTCAATACAATTGTCCTCCAAGTGCTGACAAATTGCCAGATAAGAAGAAGAATGAGATATTTGTCTTGATCCCACTTTGCACTTTTCTCTTTCTAAAAAAGGTGGTTCCTGCTACAGTTCCATCAACACCACTATAGATCTGGTATAAATGGAGTCATATTTTAGGTTGATTTTTCTATTTAAACCAGAAAACATAATGCAAAGTATTAGTTGTGTGAAAACAAGGCAAGAAAATGGAGCTCCAAGATGCCGCAAAAATCTTAATCTACCTTTTGCAACAAGTCTAATTAGCATTCCCATCCAGTAAACCTGCTATGCCACGAGCAAAATACACACAGAGAGGAAATGTTGTGTCTCAAGAGCAGTTTGCAGCAACTGCGTTTTTTATGGGTTTCACAGCCCGTAATCACGCGGGCATACGGACTAGTCTCTCTCACACACACGGTATAACTTATTTAGCGAGTTTACGCGCGCTCGAAGACCCCACCGCCGATGCCAAGCCGTGCGGGGCTCAGGGCTGAGCCTCGCCCTGCTGATGGGTCACAGCAGCTCCACCGACCCGCGGGGCGCCCGTCTCCTCTTCGTGTACGCGGCGCGGATTTAGTGAACCTCCCCGTCTAACACCGCTCCCCCCGCCTCCAACAGCTCCCCCCCCTCCCCTTATCTGCGGCGGTAACACTAACCCTCAAGCCAGGGGCAAGCGCAAGCAGGATGCCAAGGGCACCTTGCCTTTACAGGCCGCTCCCGCACCCGCCCGGCTGGACCCTGCCGCCCCCGCCGGCACCGCCCGGGAGCGGCCCCGCTCCCACCGCCCTCTATTGCCTTTTCACCCTTTCGTCCAGCCAGGATAAGCCCCGCTTAGGAACCACCACCCCGACATTTACCGCACAACTTCGTCCTCGCCCTAATGAAAATAATAATTAGAGCAAAAAAAAAACCAAAAACCCAGTCCAACCGAGCCCGTCCGCCTGACCCCAATCCTCCTCCTCCTCCCTCAGCCGCAAGGCGGGAGGCTGTGCGCTGCGGGAGCGTCCCGGCCGGGAGGGCGGGGAGCGGAGCGGCAGCCCGCAGGGAACCGGCCGGACACAGAGGAACACGGCCCGTCGCTGCCCCCTACCCCGCTCCCCTGGGACCGCCGGACCCCACCACCTGCAGGCGGCGGAGCTAAGCCGAGCCCCGCCGGGAAAGCCGGTGACGGCGGACCTGCGCCCCACAACCTGCCCGGGGCCTGCTGCCGACCCCCCCTCCCGCTCACCTGCGGGGAGAATGGCGGTTACCGGCGCTCAGGCGGGGCAGGCCGGGCCGGGCTGAAGCGAGCGGGCACGAGCACGGAGGGAGTGAGACAGCAACCGCTCCCTCACGCACCCTACGGGAGCCGGGCTTGCCGCCCGCTTCCCCATTGGCTGCCGGCGGCAGGGGGGCGGGCCCGGGCAGGAAGCGTAGGGCGCGGCCCGTGTTGGCGGAACGGAGGCGGGAAGGGAGGCGGGCACTCATAGGCCGGGGCGGGCACCCATAGGCCGGGGCGGGGTCTGTGAGCTGTGTGTGATTGGCGCGGAGCCCGGGGCAGGGTCCCCTGAGGGGGAGGTCGTAGGGGGAGCCTGGGGTTGTGGGAGGTCGACACCCGGAATTACCGAGAAACAAGGTGCCCGTGCCCTGCCAGCTGTCCCGGGGAAGAAAGCTTCAGGGATTGGGAGGAGAAGCCCTAGGGAGGAAAGGTGCACCCTGGGGAAGCACTGTGTGGTGTGGGGGGGAACCTGTTCGGGGTGCAACCGCGGAGCCAAGATGGCTTCCCCGGGAAGGTCCAGCCGGCCCGCTCTGCTCCAGCAACGACTGGGATTTACTGGAGGAAGTAAGTACTCCATACATCTCAGCAAAAGTAATCACAGCCTTTAAAAAAAATGCAAAACCATGAACGTAATTCTAACAGAAGTGTCAGTCTTAGGGCAGAGTGGCCCAGCGACTCATAAAAATACCCATTTCAAACGAGTAAGTACTCATTTCAAATGAGTACTTTTAAAATTTTTAATGGACCGGTCACTTTCAAGAGATCAGAGCTTGAATCTTTGATGCTCTGTTTGATTTCAGTGTGATAACAGCAGGAAGATTGCTCCGTCCCAAAAGGCGGTCATGGCCTGTCAGTGGTATCAGTAAGAAGTCTCTTTTTTTTGAACTGGTATGAGTTGGGATTCATATATTTTTCCCTTGTGGGCAGCCCCACCCAGCCACGCACTCCTGCCTGCTGCAATTTCCAGGATGTGGCTGAAGGTTCCGAAGCACACAAACATATGACCAAATCCAGAAGCATGGACACTACACACTAAGCCTCTCCCTTACCCTTAAGATCATGCAATGCCAATTTAAAAAAAAAAAACAAACACCCACCCCTCATCAGAATTCTCCCTTCTAGTGTTCTGTGCCTAATGATGCAATTTTAAGATGTTATTCTTTCAGAAGAAAACATAAGGCTTTGAAGAAAGCGAAGAGGAGGAGGAGAGAAAGAAGAGGGATTTAGATCTATTAATATTAGCAGGGGGAGAATGAAAACAAAAGAATACACAAGTACAAACCGAGCTACACCCCCAGATTCAGTAGCATTTATATCGACATATTTTAATCATAGCAGTTAGGAATGTTATTTGGACAGTTACAATAAGGTAATTAATCTTAAAAAGAAAAAAAACCATGTCTGTATGTTTTTCATTATGCACAGAAGCAACCTAAAATGTTTTTGGTTTTTTTTATCTTCCAGGTGCTTTTTACCTTTGAAATATTAGAAAAGTAAACCAAATCTGCATTCACTCATTCTACCAGGAGTTTTGTACATATCACAGCTGCAATGATTGCAACTTAGCCAAACCTGGCTTAGTTCTATTTAGCTGGCTAACGTAAACCTTACAGGTAATCCCGTGACTCGTTCCCAGCGGGCCTGATGCCGAGTAAGTAGTATAGAGCCCCAGCCGAGTAAGGAGGTTGCTTAGGAAATTAGGAAATTTTTTTATACTGAAAGGGTTATTAGGCATTGGAACAGGTTGCCCAGAGAAGTGGTTGAGTCACCATCCCTGGTGGTATTTAAAAGACAGGTAGACATATTGCTTAGAGACATGGTTTAGTGATGGCTTCTGTCAGTCTTAGGTTGACAGTTGGACTAGATCTGAAAGGTCCCTTCCAACCTAGGCAATTATTCTTTGATTGCTGAAGTGCTCTATCTCCTCTGCTAAGCATGTTTCTTCAGCTAAGGATGTAAGGTTATTCTGCCTCTCATGGCTGCAACTGTAGTCATCTTAAAAGCTAATCCCAAGCAAAGCTGGGAGCCCCACTGGAGCCTTGCAGCACAACATTCCCCAACGGCTAGTTTCAAGGCCGGACACTTGCCCCTGTGTCTAAGCAGGCCCAGATGTCTGGCAGCCAGAAGCCCAGGAGAGAGGATATCCTCGGGGCCCCGACAATGTACACACACCTACACATGTGCACACAGACTCACATTTACCTTGCCATGAAATGATGCAGGAAGTGAAGGTCGTTACAAAATGCAGTGTCCAAAAGGGTATAGGATTTTTTTGTCAAGAACAAAAAGTTGTGAAACTATATAGTGCACATTACTGGCCCATGCCTTGCCACATCCTCCTTTTCTTACAAGTTGCAGACTACTCCTGTCTCCCAAGCCCTCATTGTTATGAGTCAGCCATCTCAGCCACAGTTGTTACACTGAGTAACACCAAGCCCTTCCATCACAGTAATGTCTCAGACTTTGATCTGGCTTGATCTTTATCCATTCTTAAATACTTTCTCATGAAGATACAGTAGCAATTAACAGATATTAGAACAGAGTGAGTTGCTGTGTCTTGCCCTGTGTTTTTTAACCAGATAAAATGGATACTACTAACCTCACTTGACAACGGAGTTGTCAACAGAGTTATCAGACCATCCCGTGGCTGTCAGACCTATCAGAGAACATATGGTGTGTGTCTGTAATTGCAACAGCAGAAAGATGTTTTGGGAAAATAAATATGCCCCTCTTCTCCTAAACAGCATCATTTTTCAAACTCATTGTTCACTTTTAGTGTATTAATTTTGCTGGAGACAAGCATTTTGGTTCTAATTCATTGATTAAGGAATTGCAAAATGATCACTCAGAATACGTCACAGGTTTTGCTTAGAGTTTATAAATCAAAATAAAACAAGTGTACCTTTCCAGTGCTCTGTCAAACTAGCTAGACTTTACAGCCTCCTTATAAACACTTGTGTCATTTAACCAGTAAGTAATATATTATTGCTTAAGAAATGACACAATGACAATTTTTCAGGTGGTGAAACCCGCCTAACTTCCCCAGATCTGATGCAAGAATTCTCCATGGCTTGGGTTATGGTCCCAGTGTCTGGTATTACTGTTTTGTACACTTGAGATAATCTTACCTATTGTAACATTACCACCGAAGAGATGACTAGGGGACCAAGTGTACACAAGCACTTAATCAATGTCCGTTGAGAAGTGGATAGGTATAGGTCTAATATGCTGCTGACTAAAATGTCCATAAACTTAGCAGGTACCTAAGTTTTTCAGGAAAAGTTAAATTTATAATCAAGTAACCACGGGTAGACCCCATTGAGATTTTGTAAAAGAAGTGCCTGAGCGTCTTTGGCAGAAGAGTCCAAAAGAAATTTAGTGACATCTGCGTACTCAAGACAGCATGTTCCAAGGAATTAATTGTCTCTCCAAGTTATTGTTAATACATATTGACCAGTAAGAGCAAAATAAGTAGTACTGCTGTGGCATATAGATGAGATGGTCCTTCCAGGCAAGGCTGTAGGGAATCCTGCTCTCAGAAAAACATGTTGAGAGACTATTTGGTATGAACATTCACAGCAAGGGACAGATCTGTCCCACCCACAGATTTTTAGATCTCCTGGTTTTCATTTCCCTTATGATGATTCACTTCTTTTCTCTTAATTTGCATATTTATGACTCCTGGCTTTGTCCTTTACAGTCATGCTGGGTGAGGACTATGGATCTCCTGATACCATCCCGGATGTAAGAAGGTGGATGACATCCCAGGTGCTAAGGACATTACTTACAAGACTCACTGCATGTACCTGAGGTTATGTTAACAGTAGCAAAATGGAGTCTGGCCAAGCTTTGAAAGGAAAGTACGTAGCTGGAAGTTTTCTAAGGTAAGGGAACAAGTCAAAAAAACAATACTGAAGGTCACTGTATATTAGAAAAAGCCACAGTGAATGTTGCAACCTAATAGTGGTTGTGTTTGTGACACTCCCTAAACTCTGCAAAACTTTGAGAAAGAAAACTCTCTGGCCTGAAAATACACAGCATCATTTCTAGCAAAAAGTAGGGTTTTACTTAGAGATTATTTGAAAGGTTATTTAGAAGTTGGTTTGTTCAGAGTGAAGGATCTGTCTTTTTGGAAGACACTGCTATGTCCATTATAAAATATTTAAAATATTCCGGTTTTCCTTAGCAGTTTCAAAGGCGAGGCATAACCAAAGAGGTTTGTACTGCAGATTTTTTTGCTCATCGGGCGACAGATACTGTATGTGCTGTTTCCTATTGCCATCTACTGGATGGAAATAGAACTGTTTGTTTGCTACCCACACAGGTCTGCAAGGACAATGGTATTATTTGTAACTATTTGCTAGATTTCTAGTGTACCAATAATGTTCCTTACAGTAATTCTCTGACTGTGTCCATAGATTGAACTGCTATTTAGAGATCAAGCCTAAAGTGAAGGCAGTGAGTTCAATTCCTTGTTACACTACTTCAGGGACAAAGCATGAGTTCCTTAATGGTATTCGTCATTCAAGATAAGCAGAGCACTTGGAAGGCCATGCAGAATCCAGTCTGTGCAGGTGGGGGTAAGGAGAAGGAACTTCCCTTTATTTCATATGATTTTGCCATTTTAGAGAGAATGAAAAAATACACAGGAAGAGACTACATGCCTCCAGATCAGTGGATTAAAAGATTCTCCTTCCATTTTCATGACAGCTTTTGAACAAATAAAATAAAGCCCCAAAGCATCACAACACTCTCTAGGAGTGCTGTTGGTTATGTAGTAGTCTTTTCCCTTCAAATGCTAGCAGTTCATCCGTAGGTGACTGAAGCACATCCACACTTCCTTAGCACATTTTCCTTATTTATTGTCATGCTTACTCAGATATGTCTTCTTTAGTGATGAGCACAGCTGTGTGAGGACATCATATTCTTTCCTTCTGCCTAGTGCTTTGTGATTCACTTCTCTATATTTCAGAATACATCCCAGAAAATACAGGAAATTTGGATCAGATCAACCCTGCCCCCATCAAGCTTCTCTTGTCATCTTACACCAGTGCCACACCTATTTCCAAACTAAGCCAGATAAAGGATTCCCTATTGAACACCATA